CATTCTCCAGCTTGCCAGTTGATTTCTGGGTTATGCTGACGTAAATATGACATCCCAATGATCATGTCTAACTTCCCGATGTCCGTGACTAGCAGACGGTGGGTGGAACCATGATCTCCGACTTTGAGGTATGCTTTTACATAGTCGGTTATTTCACCATGTTTGTTTTGGGATCCGTCAGCATTGTACACTTTATATGTAGTGTTTAGCTTGGAGGTTGCGATTCGATTGTTCTTCACGAATCGCTTGCTGATGTACATGGAATATGCTCCTGAGTCGACTAGAGCTTCGGCGCTCGATTTTTTGCCGTACACCCATAATGTAACTGGTAAATAGAATGATGATAAATTTGGAGACGAATTCTTTATTGTTACATTATCATCCTCTGCGTTGCGACGATCTACAGAGGTGTCTGATTCGGGTGCTAAATGTACAGGTCTTATATAATGTTCTGGGAACTCTGACGAGCTGCCTACAGATCCCCTTTGAGAAAATCCTTCCGATCCTTCCTTGATGAACTCTCTCCCGCCTTCCTTGATGAACTGGATCCATTCGCCCTCAGGCGCCTGAGCCTTGAGAGGATCGCGGCGAAATCTTCATCCGACTCGGATGCATCAGGCTCGCTTTCCGAGTGGATGCTGCGGTCGCTGATATGCGCAGCTGTCTCCTTACCCTTCCCCTTAGTCTTAGAGGAAGAGCTTTTGTGCTTCTTGACTTCGGGACCACTGTCCGTGTCCATTTCGCTATCGGATGAAGTGGAATCCGATGCTACTTGTCGCGTCTTGGACGACTTGGATTTGTTCCTGGCGTCGTCCTTTTTCTTCCCGTCCTTCTTCTTCGCGGCTGTTTCCTTCTCCTTCTCAATCTTTTTCTTGACCTGGTCCAATTTGAAACAATCGGTGCAATACTTGCCGAAACGTTTCGACGATTTGAAGAACGTTGGCTTGTTCTTCTTGCAGTTGGCGCAAACCAACTTGTCATCTTGCACGCTTCGCGCTTTGCCCGATTTACTCTTTCCCTTCTTCCCGACTGCGTCAACCTCCATAGCATTCGGGTCCTTGGTTTCGGCCTTGGCATGGTGGCCTTCTCGTTGTAGTGATGTGAATATCCGGAGTGCGAATGTAAGGAACTCGGTCCATTTCTTGGGCCAGTTGTCCTTAGTCGTGTCCGCCAGCATGAGCAGCCACGTTTTCTCCGGAATATGTTTCTTGATCTTTTCGATCAAGTCTTGATCCGAGAAGCCTGTACCTGTTGCCTTTGGACGGAAGTCTTCTGCGAACTTTCGGAAGTCTCGATGATCCTTCTTGACGAAGGCTTCTAACTCCGTTCGCTTCTTGTCATCCTTGTCCAATGATTCATATGCCGTGCGAAGTTCTGAGACGAACTCCGCCCAAGTTCCGGGTGCCTTGTTGTTTTCGTTTATTTCGGTAATCCAATGCCGCATGTATTCGCGTGCTCCTCCTTTCAAGAGCAAAAGGGTAGACATAATTTTGGACTCGTCTTTGGTATGTCCGGTATATTTCAACCAGAGCATAACTTGTTCGAGCCAATCATCGAGATTGACTCCGTCCTTATTGCCACCATATTTTTCTGGTTGGTCAATTTTTACGCCTTTACCCTTGCGACCAAACGACGGCTCATCGTCGTCGTCCGTGTCGTCGACATTGGTACCGCCTTGCCCTGCCTTTCTTCCCTGTGTGGATGCCCATGCGCGAAGTCGATCATGCGATTTCTTCAGGTCTTCCATCCTGGTTTGGAGATCCTTGATCTCATCGTCAAATGCCACCAACGAGTCGTCAGTGTTTTTGCGTTCCTCGAGTAAAGCTGACGAGGTTTTTTTCAAGTCTGCGATTCGAGACTCGGATTGTTGACGATGTTGGTCTAAGAAGACCGTCCGATTGTGAAACTCCGTGGTGTTACGTTCCATTGTATGTGCTTGGTGCTGGATGAGATTTTCGTAGTGTGCCACTGTTTGTTGACGCATCTCTTCCACCACGTTTGTGACGAGATCGACTACCCAATTCTTCACATTTTCGGGTATGTTCGCATTTGGGGGCGCCGTGTCGGCAAGGGCTTGACGAATGATAGGATTCGGGGGTTGTAAAACAATATTAAGACGTGCGGGAAGCTCCGGAGATGGAGCACGAGAAAAGCTTGGATCATTGGGGGTGGGAGTCGTCATCTTTTACAATTCTTCCTCTATTTCTCGAAGATGTTCTTCGAACTCGGCAATATGCCTATTGGCAGTCGTGGCCTGTCGGACAATTACTCGTCCTGAGCGTTGGTTTCGCAGCAGCCAAAGGTCTTGATAGATGACCTTGACGAAGGGTTGCCACAAAAACCTGGTCTTGTCCCGAACTGCGGACCACTGATGGTTATGATGGATTTCGCAAATACGCTCGATTTCTTCGAGCCACTCGACGAAGCTATTGTAAGCTTCGGTGAGACGGTCTTCGGGTTCTTCGGACCCTATAGGGATATAACAAATGTGGACCGCGACGTTCCTCCAATCAAATTCTGGATAGAGTTGGAGGGCGTATATGTGATATACGTCGTGGTAATCGATGTCGAACGTGTCCTCGTATGTAGCAAACGCTTCGCCTGCTCTGTCTCGAAGAACACGTGGAATTGAATCCCAAAGATAATCAAAAGTGTGACCGATTGGATTTATTTGCTCGAAGTTTTCAAGATTGTTCGAATCGCCGGATGAAGACATATACAAAATAACTATTCGTATCTACAGCAAAGGTCGCCCTGTAACCTGGATTCCTAGACGATACTTCTGGATAATATCTCTGATTATCCAGCGAGCTTCTCCGCCCTGACGCTTCCTTTCCTGGACGTAGTTGCAAAAGTCGCGAACCACGTGTTGGTGAACGAAGGAAAGCTTGAATTCTGCGATGTCGGTGCGGATGGATTCGAGCTTGAGTATGAGATGCTCGAGGTCGAAGATGTCGTGGTCGTCAAGTTGACGACGGTATCGTTTAGTGAGTAAGATACGAATTTGTCGAAGGGTGCCTTCGACGCGCTGAGTCGAGATGATGGAGATGACGAGAGGATAGATGAAATGAGACCCGGTAGTGGTCTCGACGTATGTCCCTTGATTGAGATCTGGACCTGATGGTCCTGCAGGTAGTCTCGGTCGCCTGACCGAGGGAGTCTGGATAATAGAAACTGAACTACTGCCACGAGGGGGCCGACCTCCCGTAGAGATGTGTCCTGGCCTTGGCAGGGGTCTTATGGGCCGCTGCTCGTAGAACTCTTCTGGAGTTCTCGCTCGAGGATGACGGATGACACCGTCGATGCTGCGCAATGCCTTGGTGCGGCTTACGCTGGTAGAGTCGGCGACTGATGGAACGTCAGGTGAAGATATGACACCGCTAACGTGCGGGTGGACGTGCGAGGACGCAACACTGCGGTGAGTACGCTGGGCAGGCACTCGAGGCAGGTAAGATAAGCAGACTTATTCTTCTATCACAAACTTAGGACGCAGAGCGCCGACTAAGCCTATGACCTTATGATCAAACACTTACTGACTGTTGTCGAAGTAAGGATGGACACAATAGATGATCAAGGTAAAGCAGCGACTTGCAAGTGGTCACTGGTGACACTATATGAATAGGCGTAGCAGAGATGAGAATAAGTCTGGGGGACTTAGACGTCTCAGAGCTCTGGCTTATATACATGAGCGGAGGGACCCTTGGTACCCTGCTACCCCAGAACCGCTAGCTAATGGAAATTGTCTGATTGGTTACCACTACCTGTCAGACTACGTGTGTCATGCATGCCGAACCTCCGAACTACTTAGTAAGACCATGGGAATGGTATTGCCTGTAATGGCTACATCTCCGGTGGCGTGGTATAGATCTACCTCGTGTATGTGAACTAATATCCCCTTAAGGACATATCTCCGGCGTCGTGTATCCCCTTCGTTGGATTCTTCCGGAGTCCGACCGTGACTTCTAGGTGGGATGATATTACTGTATAAGTTAGGCTTACCTAATACCAGCGCTACTTGTCACATGTGTGGATATCACGTGATATGTCACGTGACTAGACCTGGACCTTCGGGGCGTCTAGGACTGTTAGTACTTCGCGTACCGGTTCGTTCCTTTCTGAACAGCCTAGCGCTGACGTCAAGTGATGTCTTGGTCACGTGCAGAGGTGAAAACGTGAAAATCTGTGACACAATGGCATACTCGACTCTACTACTGTACCTGTTATGAACGCAACGCTACGTCTAACCGATAAAATCAGTCCAATGTCCGATAAACGAAAGGGAAAACGTGTC